TAAAGTAGTGTAGACAGTGAACGTGAGTGTAGTTTAATTTGAATAAAGTATTTTTATGTAGTGAATTTAAGGGAAAACTGTAAGTTTTTTGACTGAAAACTTTATTTTTTAACGCATCGTTAAACTTTACTAACACAGCCGATTACTTTTATAAGTTTTGCGCACATTAACTCGTTACTTATCCGGAAATGCTTGTGATATACGATTGAAAAAATAAAAGAAAAAAAGTTTTTGTATCATCTGATGCATTCGTTGCATTCCGAAGTTGTTACGTCGACCGTATTGTAAGTATGGTCTTTGTTTCTTTCTTTTTGCGCGCGCAAATTTATTTGAAACCAAAAAAAATGTTAGTCGTTTTCAGTATCTTAAAATAGCAAAGATGGATCTAGTTGAAAATGACTCAATAGAAATGTGTCAGTAGGTGAGGGTTAGGCTAATTGAATATAGAAATTGTTTTACCTTAGCCTATATTCTTATTCTGAATGTTTTCAGTAAATTATGTAACTCGAAAAAAGTTTTCAATAATAATAAACTTTTTCAATTGAAGAAATACTTGATTAATTCATTACAATAATACCAAAAGTAGATAATGGATTAACTTAATTTTGAATTTAATTAATTTTTTAAATAACAATTTAAGTTTAAAGCAAATATATTTTTTTTTATTGTTTGTTTATCTAAATATCTCTTTCAATTAGTTATTTTTTAACTTGAGTTGAATGTGGAGTAGCTAATTTACAAAACAATTAGTATGATTATTTTTACATCTTACAAGATAATAGGAATGAAAATAAACTTTTAAAAATCAATCAAAGCATTCAAAACTGAATAAGGTTTTCCTCTAATAAGAATTTCTCACCTTATTGAGGTTGTTGGGACCATATAATAACTGTCGCTTATAAAGATTTCTGACATATCCAGCTTCAACAGTATGTTTAAAATATCTATTTTTCTTCTGTATGCTAAAATATTGTAATATCCTAAAACAGCTAACAAAATTTAAAAGACACTTACTTTGTTTTTGTTCAATAATTTTCAAATGAAATAAAGTTATAAGTACATTATTTAACATTTTAAATATTTTTTCAAACTAAATAGAACACTCTTTAGTTATTCACTTATTAGGTCATCCTGTATATGAATAATTTACCACCTTATCACCATGTCTGGGTTAAGTAGCCTATAAGATAAAATATCCCATTAGTAGAGTTAATTGTTAAAATTCTGGGGATACTTTTAAAGTTTAATGATAACACAAGTAGCTAACTAAATAAGTAATTGTGTTATGAACTTGTTATGAAAATGGAATCATTGTCCAGTTCTTATGAACAACTTCCATAAGTTAGAAACTTGTGTTAAAGAAACTTCTATAAGCAATAAAAATTTTGCCGTCCCCGGAGCTCTTCATCCGGGTTCTACTGTACTCGGGATTACTATTTCGACTAACATTTGATTATTAAAAATATATTTTAGACATTAATAGAGATTTCAGAAGTAAGGAAAGTCAAAGAAAGTGCTCAGTCATTCTTATTAAGATGAGTGAGTTGTCACTTTATTTCAACTTTTCACTTTAGAATCATGAGTCAATTTCATTGAATACTAGCTGTCGTCCGCGATTCCGTCCGCGCGGTATTAATAAAAAACTTAATTAGTAACTTATGTGTTCTACTAGACTATGTACATCAATGCCGTTCTGGAGATACAAACAAACATCCATCCAAACATTCGAATTTGTAATTTTAGTAGAATTCTTATATGCCTAAGCATCCTCCTCTTACTTTCACAATGTTTAGCAGAAGATGGTCTAGTTTTTGTGAATTTTACCACTCTTGCTTACTAATTCGGCATCTCATGACGTCCCTCGTGAACCGTGTTTCACCGGTGCGTAGCCATCTAATAAGCGATGACCTTAATACCTCGCAAACGGAACATGGTGATATGGCTGTAAAAAGGTTGACTCACGTCTTCCTGACCCAGTCGCCATCTCAACCGTTATTTTTACTCACTTAATTGTATGGTATTACAAGATCCAAACTTTATAACGGCTCGTGATTAAGTGCGCAAGTCTGTGTAAGTCAACTAATTTTAGTGTCTCTTTCATTCTTTTTGATAACAACAGAGACATATATATTAGTATTCTTAACTCATGTGACGTTCTTACGATAAAAGAAAACATTGTGACACAACCTGCACATATGACTTAAACCAATCCGAATTGGACCAGCATGGTTGTCTATGAGCTAGTCATTTAGGTTGGATTCCAAGCATCACATTGCTGGGGATATGATTTTACTGGCAATAATCACAGCAGTGAAATTCTATAGTTGAGTGGGACGACTGGTGGATGTTTTCAGCGTCGCATGCGTAATTTCGAACCTTCATAAAGTTTGGACATCATTATACTTTATGTAGGATGACGCTAACTTATCTAATACAATGTGAATATATATTATTGTTTATAAATTATTCTTACATCAATGTTTAGTTGTTGATACGGATTTTATCATCGATGAATTAATGTTACCTTAATGTTAATTTCAAACATCTATAAGGCTTAGAACATTCCACGAGTTCGCACAATTTTAATTGTAAGCTAGGCGTAAACCAGTGGTTCCCAAACTTATTTTGTCTACTGCCCACTTTGAGAATAAATATTTTTTTAGCGCCTCCCATATTTTCACATATTTAAAAACCACTATAACATTCATTATTGTAATATTTTGAGAATTCTAAACGAAACTTTTACTATAACCAGCAACTTGAGACCTGCAGCGCCCACAACGGGGCGTTATCGCCCACTTTGGGAAAGACTGGCGTAAAAGAATGCGGGGACTTTAGATTGATGCATGGATGTTTTTACCATGTAACTCTAAAACAGATTAACTGATCAAGATGGAATTTGACACAGTAGAACATAGTCTAGAAGAACACAAAGTCTATTTACAGAGTTTTTTGTTAATTCCAACAGATCAAAGTCTAGTAGGGAAATAAAGTTTCTAGCAATTTATACAACATTGTTGAAAGTTCCTTTAGTTTCAGATCGTCGATATACTACAAAACATAGTTGAACATTCCGTATGTTAGCCCTTAGCACAATCAATAAAGTTTATAAGTTCGTAAGGCAAACATTATTGGTCATAATGAATGTTTACATACCTAATTCAATGTTCAATGCAGCCAATTGAGTACGCAACTTTCGGTCGACAACCGTTGCAATGACATGGGGGTTTTTTATTACAAAAATCACGACATCTTTAATAGTCTGGTCAAATCTTGCGTTAACGATACTAATATAAATGCGTATGTTTTGATAAATGGATGTTTGTTAGATGTAGAACATAGGCTAACTAATTAAGTTCATTTTTAATTGGACTCCCAGCGAAAAATAGTACTATGTTAACTTTCAGCGAGATCCATGCAGCTATTCTGGAGATACTTTAAAACAAATATTCGCATTTATAATATTAGTAAGTATTTTACGGAGATTGGAAATTGTCGACATACCTAAAAGAACATATATGTTTCTTCCAAAGAATAAGTAATGTTTTTCTACATGTTTGCTTGCAGTGGAAACTGACGCGAAGATCACGCGTTAATATCAAACGTTTCAAATTTAAATCTGGAGCAATGGTTTAGTGAACACAATAATAACGGATATTTTTTGCGAAACGAATTTAAGACTCGGTGACTCTGAGTACAGTTAGTCTACAGTGTACCGCACGTAGCGTTAATAATTAATATTTTCACGACAAAGACAGACTGATAATCCGTCTCTTTTAGAAACTAGATGTCATAGTGAATCCGTCTGCGTCTAATCATAAAAAAAAAATAGCCCGGTAATATTATTTGACCCGGTGGACATATGAACTGGGGAATTTATCTGACCCGGTAGGGGTAAGTTGCTAAATTTAAACAAGATCATTACCGACCTCTAGCCAAAAATGTGTCACAAATTCCTGGTGCTGTGGCTGTCTCGTCATGTTTTGTTTTATATATAATTTTCCATGCACTTATAGGTTTTTCATACTTTCTACAACTGCGATAACAAAGGGTCGGATACGTTAGTTGGATTATAATGTCTCTTTTATTAAAAAAAAACTAGTTGTCACCCGGAACTCCGTCCGGTCGGAATTAAAAAAAACTTAATTAGTAGCTTACGTGTTCTTCCAGACTATGTTCTATATGTATGTAAAATTTCAGCGAGTTATATGCAGCCGTTCTTGAGTTACATTCAAACAAACATCCATCCATACAAACATTAATATTATTAGTAAGACTAGCTGTCACCCGCGACCGTCCGCGTCGAATTAAAAAAAAAGATATTAGTAGCTGATAAAAGTGCAATTTATATTTTATTCCTACTTCATTATCAGCTCACTATACGTCCCCACCGAGGGGCTCGGAGCCTACTCTAAGTTGAGGGTGATTAGGCCATAGTCAACCACGCTGGCCAAGTGCGGGTTGGTTGACTTCACACATATCTTTGAATATCTTCTCAGATATGTACAGCATCACGATGTTTTCCTTTACTGTAAGAACGTAATAAATGTACATATGTAAATCGGAAATCGAAAAACACATTGGTACATGGCGGGATTCGAACCCAGGACCTACAGATTGCAAGTCAAGTGCTTGACTCCAGAGCCACCGATTCTCCTACTTTTTTATTCCTACTTACCCCTATTGTTTTATAATCTATGGTTAATTGTAAACAATGAATTATTGTTTACTCAAACAAGAATAATAATTCGATTTGTAGTTTCCTGTTTTTCATTAAACCCACAAACATCTTAATTATTTTCGTGATGCAATTTATACGGAAACCGGCTTTTATGTCAATCAATCGAGTGTTTTATGTTTATACTAGCTGTTTACCGCGACTACGTCCGAGTTGTATTAACACAACTTAATTAGTAGATTATGTGTTCTTCCAGACTGTTCTACATCTATGACAAATTTCAGTAAGATCCATGCAGCCGTTCTGGAGATACCTTCAAGCATCCACCCATGTAAACATTCGCATTTATAATATAAGTAAGAAGTAATATATAGAAAAAGTGTTTTAATTAAATCATATACACTCTGGGTGGGATAATATTGTTTTGTTACACAACTTATTAACAAATTTGACATATAAATAAAATAACATTTAATCCTTACAGTATCACAACACGATAAGCAAAAATATCACAAAATAACTAGCGGACCCGACAGACGTTGTCCGACAATTTGACACTGCGATGGTAGCGCCGTCTGTCGGATCCAATGTAAAACATTCCAAAAT